TGAACAGAATGTAGGTGGAAAAGAAGCATCACAACACCTAGGTGCTGGGCCCAGTGATAGGTAATAATTCTATGAGCCGGAACCTAGTAGAAAGAGAATCACATGGGCCAGGCACGGCGGCTTAGTCCTGTAATCGCAGCAATTTGGGAGGCTGAGGTGGGTGGATCACCTAAGGTCAGGAGTTCGAGGCCAACCTGACCAACATGGCAAAACCCCATCTCTACTAAAATACAAATATTAGCCAGATGTGGTGGCAGGTGCCTGTAATCCCAGCTACTCAAGAGGCTGAGACATGAGAATAGCTTGAACCGGGGAGGCAGGGATTGCAGTGAGCCAAGATTGTACCACTGCACTCCAGCCTGGGCAACAGAGTGAGACTCTGTCTGACGAAAGTCTCATTACCTGGATGATGGGTGCACAGATAGATTATAATGCTTCCTGCAGGCAGGACCCCACTGAAGAAAAGTTGTATCACCTGATGTTGCACGTAGCAATATGTCACAATGGCCCATGAAGGCAGGACACATAACCAGGGGGCGTCACAAGCAGAAGAGTCACATAACCAGGGGGCGGAGCTTAGCAATGTCACAATGCTGCACAGTGGGCAGTGCTGAGGCAAAAATACAGAGTCACACCACCAAGGTGTTGGATTCAACAATGTGTCACAATCTAATCTGCAGGCTAGGTACAAGGCAGCAGTCAAATCACTCAGGGCTTGGCCAAGGGGTCTGTCGCAATCACAGTTGCAAAAAATGTAGAAATGAACTTAAAAATCCCACGTCCTATTTCTAAGTATTAGAGTCAATACATTTTGTATGTTCAGTCTAAGTACACGTGAGTCACAGTCTCAAAGGTGGATTGGAAACATGCATGAGAGCCTCAATCTTTGCTGCAGACTGTGTCCCTTAATGGACTCACAGCCTCTCAGGCATGCTGAATCTTGGTCTGAGTGTCACCAACCCACATGTGAACATAATCCACATCAGGGTCAATTTTCCCACTTTTGGCTATCTCACATCTCACTCAGATGTGAGAGTCAGAACTTCTACATTGAGCTGTGTTCATGTGAAAAGTTGACAATTTTTTTACTGTTGGCTGAGTTTGCATATGAGAGTCATAATGTCACCTGTGTGCTAGGCCCTGAGTGCTTTAAACAATAGGCACGTACCACCTGAGTGCTTTATACAATAGGCATGATAGTCACAATTTGTTCTGAGACTTTTTTTTGTCTTTGTGGAGACAGAGTATCGCTCTTGTTGCCCAGGCTGTAGTGCAATGGTGTAGTCTCAGCTCACTGCAACCTCTGCCTCCTGAGTTCATGCTATTCTCGTGTCTCAGCCTCCCAAGTAGCTGGGACTACAGGCACACACCACCAACCCCCTTAATTTTTGTATTTTTAGTGGAGACGGGGTTTCGCCATGTTGGCCATGCTGGTCTCGAACTCCTGACCTGAGGAGATCTACCCATCTCAACCTCCCAAAGTGCTGCGATTACAGGCATGAGCCACCGTGTCTGGTCAAGACTTTCCAGCTGAGGCTTTTTTTCTAATACAAACTCATAATCATACCTGTGGATCTAAGCTCATGTATTAAAGTCAACATCTTTCCAATTGTCTGGGTCTAGAGAAAAGAGCCCTTGGCCAGGCGCGGTGGCTCACACCTATAATCTCAGCACTTTGGGAGGCCGAGGCGGGTGGATCATGAGGTCAAGAGATCGAGACCATCCTGGTCAACATATTGAAACCCCATCTCTACTAAAAATACAAAAATTAGCTGGGCATGGTGGCATATGCCTGTAGACCCAGCTACTCAGGAGGCTGAGGCAGGAGAATTGCTTGAACCCAGGAGGCAGAGGTTGTGGTGAGCCGAGATCGCACCATTGCACTCCAGCCTAAGCAACAAGAGTGAAACTCCGTCTCAAAAAAAAAAAAAAAAGCCTTCACCTGCCTATGAGCTGGGTTTAGAAATGAATCACCATCTTAACTGCTGTCACGTGATTACATATGACAGTCACAATTTTTACTGTGGACTCCATTCACATGTGAAATTCAGGATCTCCCAGTGTGCTCTATGTGTGAGGGTGTCAATGTTAACATTTGGTAGGTTCTGGATATGAGAAACACAGTCTCACCTGTGTTCTTGGCCCTATCATAACACTCTCTGTACTGTCCAAAGACTACATACAAAAGGTAAAGGAATGGTAATCCTTTATGATGTTCTTACCTAGAGAAGACCCAGGACTTTACCCATTTCTCTAAGTCTAGCTACAAGCACCAGTATCTCTGCTGTTGACTGGTTTGTGGTATGAGGATCATCATCACAACAGTGAGCTGGGCGAAAGTATATGACAGAATCTAACCTGTGAGTAGAAAGTAAATAGGAGAGTAACATCACCTGTGTGCTGGGTCAGAAATATATCATAATTTTTCAGGACAGGGACCAGGCAGGAGAGTCATATCACCTGGTTAACTGTCCAGGGTTATGTTACAATTCCCTCTCGAAAGCAAGGTGCAGACAACAATCACGTTACTTGGATACTGTGACCAGCTATGTCACAATTCTCTCTGCAGGCAAGGCCTGGGCACAAGAGACACAGCACCTGGCTGCTGAACCCAGAGGTGCATCACAGTCTTCCTGCGGGCATGGTGCAGATGGAAGAACAGAGTCATTATCTCCAAAGTAATGGATGCACAGATATGTCACAAGGCTTCCTATAGACAAGGCCCAGGCAGGAGCTTTTCACCCATTTGGTTTGACCCAGCGATATGTCAAAATACCCACCATACAAGAGGCCCAGGTTAAAGAGAAGAGTGGTGACATCACCTAGATGTAGAGTCCAGTGATATGCCACAATCCTCCCCTTTTACAGGGTTCAGGTAGAAAAGAAGAGTTACGGTTGGGCACGGTGGCTCACGCCTGTAATCCGAGCACTTTTGGAGGCCGAGGCGGCTGGATCACAAGGTCAGGAGTTCAAGACCCGCTCAAACTCCATGTTTCACCATGGTCAACATGGTGAAACACTGTCTCTACTAAAGATACAAAAAATTAGCCAGTCATGGTAGTGCGTGCCTGTAATCCCAGCTACTTGGGAGGCTGAGGCAGGAGAATCGCTTGAACCCAGGAGGCAGAGGTTGCAGTAAGCAGAGATTTTGCCATTGCACTCCAGCCTGGGCGACGGGGCAAGACTCTGTCTCAAAAAACAAACAAACAAAAAGAAGAGTTACATCACTTAGGTAACAAACAAAAAGATAAGTCATAATTCCTCTATTAGCAGGGCTCATGCAAGAGAGTCACATCACCTAGGTGTTGGACCAGCCATATTTTACTATATACAATTTGTTTCCCCTCGGTGTTAGTGAATTATGTATTGTATATATTGAAAATTGTGTATATTTTTAAAAATGGCTGGGTCCAACAACTAGGTGATGTAATTTTCCTGCATGGGTCCTACTAATGGAATTATGACATATCTTTCTGTTTCTCCTCTAAGTGATGTGACTCTCCTTTTCTCCCTGAAACCTAGTGTAGGAGAGGAGAGTCACATCGCCAAGGTGCTGGGCCCAGTGATAAATCACAATCCCTCCTTGGGCAAAAACCAAGCAGAAGACAAGGGTAACATCACCTTGTGTCAAAAATTATGGCACAATACTTTCGGAAAAGAAGGGGCCCATGCAGCAAAGTCACATCATCTAAGAGAAGGCTCCAGAAATATGTCAAAATGCCCTAAGTGAAGAAGAGTCACATAACCTAGGAATTAGGCCTAGTTATATGTCACAATCACCCCAGTGGGCAGGACTGAGGCGTGGAACAATAATCACATTATGTAGGTCCTGAGACAGGTGATATGTCACAATCCCAACTGTGGACAAGTCTCAGAGACAAAAGGAGAGTCACATCATCTAGTTTACCAGTGCAGGCAAATGTATACAATGTCCTCTCTGGACAGGGACCAGGCAGAAAAATCACATCACCTGTGTGCTGGGCCTAGTGATAAGTCACCCCCTCTTCTGTGGTCAGGGCCCAGGCAGAAGAGAAGGGTAACATCACCTAGGTGCTTGGCCCAGATATGTTACAATGTCTCCTAGGGAAAAGCCCATGTAAAAGTGGAGAGTAACATAAAACAGATGATGGATCGGCCAGGCACGGTGGCTCATGCCTGTAATCCCAACACTTTGGGAGGCCAAGGCAGGTGGATCACCTGAGGTCAGGGTTTGAGACCAGCCTGACCAACACGGTGAAAACCTGTCTCTACTAAACATACAAAAATTAGCTGGGCGTGGTGGCGCATGTCTGTAATCCCAGCTACCTGGGAGGCTGAGGCAGGAGAATCACTTGAACCCGGAGGCAAAGGTTGCGGTAAGCCAAGATCGCGCCACTGCACTCCAGCCTGGGCAAAAAGAGCAAAAATCCATCTAAAAAAAAAATAATAATAGAGCCAGGTGTGGTGGCTCACACCTGTAATCCCAGCACTTTGGGAGGCCAAGGCCAGTGGATCACCTGAAGTCAGGAGTTCGAGTCCAAGCTGGCCAACATGCTGAAACCCTATCTCTACTAAAAATACAAAAAATTAGCCAGGCATGGCAATGTATGCCTATAGTCCCAGCTACTCAGGAGGTGAAGGCAGGAGAACTGCTTGAACCTGGGAGGCAGAGGCTGCAGTAAGCCAAGATTGCACCACTGCACTTTAGCCTAGGTGAAAGAGCAAGACTCCATCTCAAAAAAAAAAAAAGAAAAAAAAGGGGGCCGGGCGCGGTGGCTCACACCTGTAATCCAAGCACTTTGGAGGCCAAGGCAGGCAGATCACCTGAGGTCAGGAGTTCAAGACCAGCCTGACCAACATGAAACCCTGTCTTAAAAAAAAAAAAAAAGATGATGGGTCCAGAAATATGGCAAAATGTCTCCTGTAGCCAGGGTCTAAGGAGGAGATTCATATCACCTTGTTGTTAGACCCAGCAATATGTTACAATAGCCCATGTGGCACAGAAAAGAGAAACATATTACCTGGGTGCAGGGACTACCGATATGTCACAATGCCCTCTGTGGCAGCACCAAGGGAAGTGTATAGGGTCACATCATCTACATGCTGGGTCCAGCGATATGTCGCAATCCTATCTGTGTGCTGGGCCCAGGCAGGAGTCAAATCACTCATGTTCTGAGCAGTGGCATGTGTCACAATCATACCTGCAGAAAGACCCAGAAATGAGAAAACAATTCTTCACATGTCTTCATTCTAGGTATGAGAGTCAATACCATTTGGATGTTGGGTTTAAGTACAGAAGTCACAATCTCAGTGTAGATGAATCCATGCATAACAGCCTCAATCTCTTCTGCAGACTGTGTCTCCTCAGTAAAATCACAGTCTCACAGGTGTGCTGAACCTTGATCTGAGAGGCACCAATCCATCTGTGAACCAGATTCACAAAGAAGAGTCACTTTTACAGTCAGGCATGGTGGCTTACACCTGTAATCCCAGCACTTTGGGAGGCTGAGGCAGGTGGATCACCTGATGTCAGGAGTTAGAGACCAGCCTGGCCAACATGGTGAAACCCTGTCTATACTAAAAATATCAAATTAGCCGGGCATGGTGGCATGTGCCTGTAGTCCCAGCTACCCGGGAGGCAGAGGTAGAACTGCTGAAACCCAGAAAGTGGATGTTGCAGTGAGCTGAGATCATGCCACTGCACTCCATCTCAAAACAAACAAACAAACAAACAAACAAAAATGAGTCAATTTTGCAACTTTCCACTGTCTCCAGATGTGGCATCCAGAACTTCAGAAGTGGGTTGTATTTATGTTAAGGGATGACAATATTTACTGTTGGCTGGGTGTGTATGAGTGTCACAATGTCACCTATGTGCTGGGCCATGTAAGGGCACTCAGTGTGTTACCCAAGGGTACAATATGCATTAGATTCGAATTCACTCTGAGATCTTCTTGGTCGCATGAACACAGGATCGTACCTGTGGCCCTAGGCCCAGATTTAAGAGTCAACATCTCTCCAACTGAATGATCCGTACAGGAGAGTCATCACCTGTTCATGGGCTATGTTTAGAAATGAGCCATCATTCCTACTCTGGCTGGATGTTTGCATATCACAGTCACAATTCCAACTGTGGACTGCATCTGCATGTGAGATTTAGGACCTCATCAATGAGCTTTGGCCATGCTAAGGTTACAATTATAATGATTGGCAGGGTGTTCATTTAAGAAACACAATCTCGCCGGGCGCGGTGGCTCAAGCCTGTAATCCCAGCACTTTGGGAGGCTGAGGCGGGTGGATCACGAGGTCAAGAGAGCGAGACCATCCTGGTCAACACGGTGAAACCCCGTCTCTACTAAGAATACAAAAAATTAGCTGGGCATGGTGGTGCGTGCCTGTAATCCCAGCTACTCAGGAGGCTGAGGCAGGAGAATTGCCTGAACCCAGGAGGCGGAGGTTGCGGTGAGCCGAGATCGCACCATTGCACTCCAGCCTGGGTAACATGAGTGAAACTCTGTCTCAAAAAAAAAAAGAAAAAAAAAAAAAGAAACACAATCTCAGGCCAGGAGCGATGGCTCATGCCTGTAATCCCAGCACTTTGTGAGGCCGAGGCAGGCAGATCACCTGAGGTCAGGAGTTTAAGACCAGCCTGACCAACACAGTGAAACCCCGTCTCTACTAAAAATACAAAAAATTTGCTGGGCATGGTGGCTGGTGCCTGTAATCCCAGTTACTCGAGAGGCAGAGGCAGGAGAATCACTTGAACCCGGGAAAGGCAGTTAGCCAAAATTGCACCACTGCACCCCAGCCTGGGCAATAAGAGCAAAACTCCATCTCAAAAAGAAAGAAAGAAAGAAACACAATCTCAGCCGGGTGTAGTGTCTCATGCCTGTAATCCTAACATTTTGGAAGGTCGAGGCAGGTAGATCACCTGAGGCCAAGAGTTTGAGACCAGCCTGACCAACATGGTGAAACTCTATCTCTAATAAAAATACAAAAATTAGATGGGCATGGTGGTACACGCCTGTAATCCCAGCTACTCGGGAGGCTGAGGAAGGAGAATCACTTGAACCCCAGAGGTGGAGGTTGCAATGAACTGACATCGCGCCACTGCACTCCAGCCTGTGCTGGAGGGGTGTGAGACTCAGTCTCAAAAACAAACAAAAAAAGCCACAATCTCATCTGTGTTTTTGGCTTGTGATGATACTCTCTGTGCCAACTAAGAGCTTTTACAACATTTGAGGGAGTGGTAATTCTCTATGACCTTTGCAAAAAAAGAAAGCTTAGAATCATGTTTGTTTTCCCAAGCCTAGCTAGGCAATGTGTATCTCTTTTACTGCCTGGCTCAAGGTACGAGAATCATCATAGTGACTGTAAGCTGGGATTGTAAATATATGTTACAATTACACCTATGGGTAGGGAGTGAGCAGGAGAGTCACATCACCTGGGGCTGGTCCAGGCATATGTCACAATCTTTTTTGAGGGCAAGGAGCAGGCAGGAGAGTCACATCACCTAGATGCTTGGCCAGAGATGCCTTAAAATCTCTACCTATAAGATGGGCACAGGCAGCAAGTGCACAGGCAGCACCTGGGTGCTGGGCCCAGCGATATGTTACAATGCTCTCTGTGAGCAACACCCTGAGAGGTAAGACACATTATCTGGTGCCTGATCCCAGTGATATGTTACAATCTTTTTTTGGGACATGGTGCATATAGATGAGGAAAGTCACATCTTATAATTGATAGATGTCTAAATATGTCACAAGGTTCCCTGTGGGCAGGGCCCAGGCAGGAGCCTCCTATCCCCGAATGTCAGACCCAGTGATATGTAACAATATCCAAAATATGCAAGGTCCAGGCAAAAGATGAGAATTACATCATCTAAGTGCTGGGTTCAGTGATACATCACGATCCTCCTTTGGCAAGGCGCAGGCTGAAAAAAAGTCACGTCACCTAGGTGATGAATTAATAAAATATGTCATAATACTCTCGGGGCCAGGGCTTATGTCAGAGACTCCCATCACCTTGGTGAGAGACCCAGCTATATGTCACAATACAAAATGCATGCCAGGCCCAGACAAGATAAGACAAGAATTCCATTGTGTAGGGGCTGGGCCTAGTGATACATCTAAATCTTTTATTTTGGTCAGAGTCCAAGCAGTAGAGAAGATGTCATATCAACTAAATGCTGCATCCAGCAACATGTCACAATACCCACTGAGAGGCGAGTCCAGGCAGAAAAGTCACATCACCTAGGTGAAAGGCCCAGAGATATTTCCTAGTGCTATCGTTTGCAGGGCTCAGGAAGAAGACAAGAGTCAGATAACGTGGGAGCTGGTGGCACAGTCACTACAGTGGGCAGGGCCTAGGCATGAGAGGAGAGTCACATCACATAGGTGCTGGGCCAAGAGACATCTCACATTTCCTACTGTGAACAGGTTCAGAAAAAAAGAGATTTATTATTTAGGTGATTGGCCAAGAGATATGTCACAGTGACTGCTTGGACAGGGACCAAGCATAAGAATCACATCACCTGTGTGCTGGGCCAAGCAGTAAGTCACTCTCCTTAATGTTAGCATGACCCAGGCCCAAAGATATATTACAATCTGACCTATGGACAAAGCCCAGATAAAAAAGTAGAGTCACATAAAATAGTTGATGAGCTCAAAGATATATCAAAATATGGGCTGGGCGCAGTGGCTCAAGCCTGTAATCCCAGCACTTTGGGAGGCTGAGGCGGGTGGATCACGAGGTCAAGAGATCAAGACCATCCTGGTCAACACGGTGAAACCCCGTCTCTACTAAAACTACAAAAAATTAGCTGGGCATGGTGGTGCGTGCCTGTAATCCCAGCTACTTAGGAGGCTGAGGCAGGAGAATTGCCTGAACCCAGGAGGCGGAGGTTGCGGTGAGCCGAGATTGTGCCATTGCACTCCAGCCTGGGTAACAAGAGCAAAACCCCGTCTTGGGGAAAAAAAAAAAAAAAAAAAGATATATCAAAATATTTTTTGTAAGCATAGTCCAGGGCAGGAAACTCACATCACTTGGATATAAAACCCACCAATATGTCACAATGTCTTATTTGAGCAGGGCCAAGAAAAAAATAAGAGTAGTATCACTTTGGTGCTGGATTCAGCAATATTTCACAATCTTCCCTGTAGAAAAAAAAAAAAAAGAAAATTAGGGCCAGGCACAGTGGCTCACACCTGTAATCCCAGCAATTTGGGAGGCCTAGGCAGGCAGATCACCTAAGGTCAGGAGTTCAAGACCAGCCTAACCAACAAGGAGAAACCCTATCCTCTACTAAAAATACAAAATTATCTGGGTGCGGTGGTGCATACCTGTAATCCCAGCTACTAGGGAGGCTGAGGCAGGAGAATCGCTTAAACGCGAGAGGTGGAGGTTGTCTGTGTCGAGCTGAGATCATGCCACTGCACTCCAGCCTTGGCAACATGAGCAAAACTCAGTCTCAAAAAATATATATATATATAAAATCAGCTATGTGCTGGAAAATGTCACAAAACTTCCTGAGAGCAGAGACCAGTAAGAGAGAAAGTCAAATCACCTGTGTGACTGGTGCAAAGACATTTCAAAATGTCACCCATAAGCAGGGTCCAGGCATAAAAGTTGTATCACCCGGCTGTTGGACCAAGCAATGTGTCACAAGGGCCCAAGTGGGCATATCACAAGCAGAAGAGTCACATGTCAGTGCAGGGTCCAGCAATATGTCAATGTCTGCTGTAGGCAAAACCTAAAACCAGGGAAGAATCCCATCAGCTAGGTGCTGGGTCTAGCAATATGCTACAATGTTCCAGTAAGCAGGGACCATGCAGAAGAAGATAGTCACACCACCTGGATGCTTGGCCCAGCAACATGTCAGCCACCATTCCAGCAATAAAGACCCAGGCAGAAAAAACACATCATTTGGTTGCTGGTCACAGCAATATGCCTCAATTTACCCTGTAGGCAGGGTGCAGGCAGAAGAAGAGAGTTACATCTCCTAGGTGAGGAAGGCAGACACGTCACAATGCTCCCTGCAGGAAGGGCCCAGGTAGGAGACTCCCATCCTTTAGGTATCGAGCCAAGCAGTATGTCACAACACACAAATATGTAGGGAATAAAAAGAGAGAATCACATCACCTTGATGGTAGGTCTCTGTGAGCGGAGACCAGGCAGAAGAAAGTAACATCACCGGCTGGGCACAGTGGGTCACACCTGTAATCCCAGCATTTTGGAAGGCCAAGGCTGGTGGATCACTTGAGGTCAGGAGTTTGAGACCAACATGGTCAACAGGGTGAAACCCCATCTCTACTAAAAATACAAAAATTAGATGAACGTGGTGGCACATGCCTGTAGTCCAAGCTACTCAGGAGGCTGAGGCAGGAGAATCACTTGAACCTGGGAGGCGGAGGTTGCAGTGAGCCAAGATCACACCATTGCACTCCAGCCTGGGCAACAGAGCAAGACTCCCATCTCAACAACAACAAAAAGAAAGTAACATCACCATGGTGATGGGCATCACTGAGTTATATGACAAAGCTTCATGTAGGCAGGGTCCAGAAAGAAAGTGTTACATACCCTGGGTGTTGGACCCAGCAATGTGTAACTTTTTTTTTTTTGAGACAAGAGTCTCATTCTGTCACCCAGGCTGGAGTGCTGTGGCGAATCTCAGCTCACTGCAACCTCCATGTCCTGGGTTCAAGAAATTCACCTGTCTCAGCCTCCTGAATCACTGGAACTACAGGTGCACTGTAGTTCCCACTCCCAGCTAATTTTTGTATTGTTAGTAGAGATGGGTTTTTACCAGATTGATCAGGCTGGTCTTGAACTCCTGACTAAGGTGATACACCTGCCTCAGCCTCCCAAAAGTGGTGGCATTACAGGCATGTGCCATTGTCCCCGGTCTTATATGTAACCATTTCTAATGCAATGTATTGTGCCTCAATATGGCACAACACGTAGGGTACAAGTGGGAGAGTCACATAACATGGGTGCAGAATCCAGTAATATTTTATAATACTCAAAATTTGTGGGGTCCCATAAAAAGAGGACTGGGTGCTGGGACCAGTGATATACTACAATCTTACCTTTGGGATGGGACCAGGCAGGAAACTGAAATCAATCAGGTGCTGGACAAAGGAGTATGTCACAATCACTCCTGCAGGAAGGTCCAGTGATGAATTAACAATCCCACACAGGTTCCCGTTCGAAGTATGAGAGTCACCATATTCTTTATGTTGGGTCTAAGTACGCTACTGACAATCTCACCAATGAACTGAACCTGTGCATGAGATCCTCCATCCCTCTTGTGAACTGTGTTCGCTCTGCCTTCAGCTCAGGTATGAGAGTCAACATGTCCTTAGGAGGACATGAAGGCAGAATTTTCATTGGTTCAGATAGAAAAATTCTCATCTGCCTATGAACTAGATTTAGAAATGAGTCATTATTCAAACTCTTGCCGAATGTTCACATGTGACACTCACAATTTCAACTGTGGACTGTGTCTGTACAGGAGATTCAGGACCTTACCAGTGGGCTCCATCACTATGTGAGAGTGACAATTTTAACGGTTAGTAGGTGAGCAAAGAAGAAACACAATCTCACCTGTGTGCTGAACACTCTCTGTACCACAAGAAATGTATATTGTATTCAAAAAAGTGGTAATTCTTGACTGGGCATGGTGGCTCACACCTGTAATCCCAGCATTTTGGGAGGCCGAGGTGGGTGGATCACTTGAAGTCCGCAGTTCAAGACCAGCCTGGTCAACATGGTGAAATCCTATCTCTACTAAAAATATAAAAATTACCCGGACATAGTCGCATGCACATGTGATCCCAGGTATTTGGGAGGCGAAAGCAGGAGAATCACTTGAACCCAGGAGGAGGCCGCAGTGAGCCAAGATCATGCCACTGCACTCCAGCCTGGGTGACAAAGTGAGATTCCGTCTTTAAAAATAAATAAATAAAGACCAGGCGTGGTGGCTCACACCTGTAATCCCAGCACTTTGGGAGGCCGAGGCGGGTGGATCACGAGGTCAGGAGTTTGAGACCAGCCTGACCAACACGGTGAAACCCCGAATCTACTAAAATACAAAAAAAAAAAAAAAAAAAAAAAAAAAAAAAAAATTAGCAGGGCGTGGCGGCATGCACCTGTAGTCCCAACTACTCGGGAGGCTTGAACCCAGGAGGCGGAGGTTGTACAGATCCGAGATCGGGCCACTGCACTCCAGTCTGGGCTACAGAGCGGGAGTCTGTCTCAAAAAAACAAACAAAATTTTAACAACGGAAACTGAAGACCCCAGGGCCCCAGCCCGTCCCGCGTACACACCGAGTCAGGATTCCGCCCCGAGGACTCGCCTCTGAACAATCTGGGCAACACTCGGGGATGAGGGTGCAGAGCTGCCCAGGGAACTCCAGGCAGGGCGCCACGCAGGGAAGTGGGGCGGGGGGGTGGAACGCAGGGGTCTCAGCTGAGGGCCCAGACGCCATCTTGCGGACAGAGACGCCTGGGGAGGAGCTGCGCCAGAGGGGACTCAGGTTGGTGACCCAGGAGAGGACGGTGGGGAGACCGGTCCCGCCGGTTTTACAGCTCGCTCCCGGCTCTCGGGAGGCCCAAGCCCGCATACTCACCATTTCCCAGCTTCCAGGATGTCCTGGCATCTTAGCTCTGCGTCTCCCAGGACCTGCAGATCACAGGGCAACGGAAGCTGTGACAAAGTCACGGAGTTGGGGTGGATACCGAGGTGGAAGAGCGGAAGAGCAGAGATGGATCCCAACTTCGGGCGGGTGCGAGAGACAAAGGCCCCGCCACTCGCCGGAAGCCACGCCCTCCTCTCCAACGGCGCTTCTGATTGAACGGTTCCCACGCCAGCGCCACTGATTGGATAAAGCCCCAGGAACACCTCCCACCCCCACCCTCCCCAGCATTAGTGCATTTTTTGGACGAGGAAACAGGCTCAAGTAGGCGGGATCACATGAATTACAGCTAATTAACAAGTGAGCTGAGGCTTCAAATACACTTGCTCTTTCCCTTACCCGGGTCTGCTTGTATAATGCATTTTAGTAGTTACCTAAGGGTAAGAAACAGAACATTTGGACACATGAAATATGTTGCCCAAATTTGCTCATCTTAGAAAAGCTTCACCAGATCTTTGTGAAGTGGCTATTCTCAGGGTAATTTTGCCCTGACTGTGCTGCATCTCAGTCTGACCTCTCTTTTTTTAAATTACCGGATTGGGCCAGATGCGGTGGCTCACGCCTGTAATCCCAGAATTTTGGGAGGCTGAGGTGGGTGACCTGAGGTCAGGAGTTCGAGACCTGCCTGACCAATATGATGAAACCCCTGTATCTACAAAAACTACAATAAATAAATAAGCAGAGCGTGGTGGCATGCGCCTGTAATCCCAGCTACTCGGAAGGCTGAGACAGGAAAATCACTTGAACCCCAGAGGCCGAGGTTGCAGTGAGCTGAGATTGCGCCATTGCACTCGAGCCTGGGCAACAAGAGCAAAATGCCATCTAAAAATAAAATAAAATTACTGGATTGGCTGGGCACCCTGGCTCGCCTCTGTAATCCCAGCACTTTGGGAGGCGGAGGCCAGTGGACCAAAAGGTCGGGAGTTCGAGACCAACCTGACCAATATGGTCATTTGTATTTTTAGTGTTGACAGGTTTTCACCATGTTGGTCAGGCTGGTCTTGAATTCCTGACCTCCAGTGATCTGCCTGTCTCGGCCTCCCAAAGTGTTGGGAATACAGGTATATCAAATTATTGAACTTGAGAAACCACTCCCCTGAGACTCTGGGGCAGTAACACAAAATAGATGATGGGTCGACCATACCCGGTCGACCCATCATCTATTTTGTGTTACTCTCCACTTTTACATGGGCTTTTCCCTAGGAGACATTGTAACATATCTGGGCTAAGCACCTAGGTGATAATACCCTTCTCTCCTGCCTGAGCCCTGATCACAGAAGAGGGGCTGACTTATCACTAGGCCCAGCACACAGGTGATGGCCAGAATACAGAGCCAGATTCATGGTACCTAGGATCCACACATAAGGGCTGACATCCACCTGGGATTCACAAGAAAGGACCAGACTTTGGATCTTGTCCAGTGAGCTGTTGTGGTTGTGTGAGCGTCTCCTGGTGTAAGCTGAATCTGGTGGCAGAATCTCTTAAGCACAAAGAAACACGGGAGCAGAGGGAGGGCAGGGCCACAACTGTCCAGAGCCATGAAGACAACGACATCTCCCATGTGTGAATTGTATTACTAGAGAAAGGCATTCTTGTCCTTGTACCCAGCGGATAATTGAGCAGGTATAGGTAATATCAGATCTGGATTGAAAATTAAAGGCTGTTCTTTTCTCTTTTCTTTTTCTTTTCCCCTCCCTCCCTTCCTCCTTCCCTCCCTTCCTTCCTTTTTTTTTGGTTGACAAATGCTGTTTATTGTTCTGTTACACAGAAAAGTATAGTTTCTGAGGCAAAAAACATACACGCTCTGCTCCTCACAAAGCTACTGAGTCACTAGGGCAGGCACACAATGGTCACACATGCTTGGTGGAGGCCAGGGACTCATGGATGCTGAGGATGGGCAATGGGGTGGTCTGGCCCCCAGACAGGCTGTGCAGTGCCTGGGGACAGGGCTGGACTGGGAAGGCCAGGATGGATGCAGAGGGCCGCTGGGTCCCTTCTCATGTGTCTCAAATGCAGAAAGTCTGCCAGGCTTTGGTGGCTGCTGGAAAGGCCCCAGCCCAGGGCAGGGCCTCCAGGTCCCAGGACAAGGCTAGCCTGCATGTGTGGGGGTAGAGGAGAAAGTGGGGATGGTGAAGCCAGCTGCATGCCTAGGTCTGGGAACAGGGGCTATGCCCTTTCTGGCACTCTTGTGAGTGCAGCTCCTCAAAGGGGGTTTCTGAGTTTCTAGGCCTCTTGGCATCCTAAGGAGCATGTGGAAGGCAGCCTTCCTTCTCACCAGTGATAGACGGGGTCACCCATGCATCCCCTGCCTCGCTCGGCCCCAGGGACACAGCAGATGCCTGCGACAGGTGATGGGCTGCCCTAGAGCTGAGGCCTGTCCCTGAGAGGAGGCTGTGACAGGATTGCTGTCTTACACAATTACCCTGAAATTTCTCTCAGAGCAAGTGCTCCTTGTCACATCCCAGATCATCCATTGGCAAGACTGTCACTTACACACGGTTTTCAGAGAACTCTCTAATGCCGAATGCAAGGGTTGGGTGGCAGGAGTGAGGGCCTGTACAGATAAACGCAGGTGCACTGTACAGGGCTGGGGAGTCCTGGGGGTCGCCTCAGGTGGCCAGAGGCAGTGACAGTGCTGCCAAGGTGGGCTGCTCCCACCCAGAGCCCACATCTTCTGGCTGCCCCAGAATCTCAGGGGAGTGGCTTGAAGGCAGCCCAGGTCTCCTGCACCCAGGACATGTGCCTAAACTGGCAGCAGTTATGGCTGCTCCAGCTGGGGCTGGTACACATACCGTATACTGGGACTGCAAAGGGACCCTCAGAAGGAATACAGCACAGAGCCTCCCGCCCTATGCCACCCTAGCTAAGTTGGGCCCAGACCACTACACCCCCTGCTAATCCTTTGGAGCCCCAGGTTCACTCATAGGCAACAGTCAAGGCTGGGGCTGCAGGTGGCGGTTGGGGCTATTCCCAGATGTTTGAGAAGGGAGCAGAGTAGCTGTGTCCCCCAAGGCAAGGCTGTTCTCTTTTTTACTCTGGCCCCACTGAGTCAGCCTGAGTCTCCACTGTTTGAGTAACTATTGGAGCATCAGCCCGGGGCCACTGCGGATCCTCTCACTAACACCTAGGAGTCTTTTTTTTTTTTAAAGATGGGGTTTCACCACGTTGGTCAGGCTAGTCTTGAACTCCCGACCTCAGGTGATCCGCCCACCTTGGCCTCCAAAGTGCTTGGATTACAGGCGTGAGCCACCACACCCGGCCCTCACCTAGGAGTCTTTGAGACATTTGGGGATTTCCTGTGCAGACGGCGGTCAGGCTGACAACAGAATCCAACCTTCCTCCCATCTCAGAGAAAGAATGAGTAATCCAGGGCTTGTTTCTCCCCTCACAGAAGCAATCACCTTTTTTGGTGTCCAAATGGAAGTTGCTTCAGTTTTCTGATACCTGGGGGAAGAACAAATAGGAGGTCTGGAGACTCAAACTGATAGGTTAACAAATTGCTTCCATTTCCTTTGGCCATGAGGCGAAGCACTCATGGATCCAAACATCCAAGAATTTTTATTGTAGAGCCAAAGAACAAATCACTGAATTAAGAGTAATGTGATCAGAACTGCATATCACTTGAGGTCAGGAGTTCAAGACCAGCCTGGCCAATATGGTGACACTCCATCGCTACTAAAAATACAAAAATTAGCCAGGTGTAGTGGTGGGCACCTGCAATCTCAGCTATTAAGAAGACTGAGACTGGAGAATCTCTTGATCTCAAGAGGTGGAGGTTACAGTGGGCCGAGATCACACCAGTGCACTTCAGCCTGGGCAACAGAGTGAGACCCTGTGTGGAAAAAAAAAAAAGAAAGTTAAGAAAAAGAGTAACATGACCAGAATAAAGAAAAGAGTTGTATAGAGGATTTTGGCTTCATCCGGGACACGGCTCTTATGTTCTTTTTGTGAGTACTGATGTCACCACCTGAAAGGCTACTCATGGATTGAAGAGTTCTTGTTATTGTTATTATTGCTATTGCTTTTCCCTTATTTAGTTTCTGGGCCGGGTGTGGTGGCTCACGCCTCTAATTCCAGCACTTTGGGAGGTCAAGGCGCACAGATCACGAGGTCAACAGATCGAGACCATCCTGGCCAACATGGTGAAACCACGTTTCTACTACTAAAAGTACAAAAAATTAGCTGGGCGTGGTGGTGCGTGCCTGTAGTCCCAGCTACTTGGGAGGCTGAGGCAGAAAAATTGCTTGAAACCCGAAAATGGAAGTTGCAGTGAGCTGGGATCGCGTCACTGCACTCCAGCCTGGCGATAGAGTGAGGCTCTGTCTCAAAAAAAAAAAAAAAATGTTTTTTCTAATGTAATTTTTCTAGAAAGACCTACATGTTTTTGTTAAATTGATTGTTATTGTATTATGCAAAATAGATAGGGTTGAGGCTTAAACTGTTAAAACCAGAAACATTCTGGGAGTCAAGTTCTGGTTGGTCAGATTTAGAACAGAACTGAAAATAAATCAGCAGCACAGAGATGAGAAGCTGAGGGCCAGCTCCCTGTCCCAGCCCTACCTGGCTCTACCCCTCTTCTGAGCCTTGTCCAGGTCTTGCCCCACCCTGAAATCTTCACAGAACTGATTAGAGGAGATCAGACTTTTGTGTGGCTACTCTTCCGGGAGTCTCTTCAGAGCTGGAGGTCACAATTTCCCCAAACCCAAAGGCAGATCAATGGGAGTAAAGAGCCTTATTTGGAGCTTTTCTTTCTTTCTCATTGAAATCAGTGTTTCCAATACATTTCACACAGCCATCTGTTCTACACTTCTGCAGATCCAGTAGTTATTCCACAAATTATGAGAAATTAAATATAAACACAACAATTAAAAGTTTTTTGGAACTCCACATAACCCCCCGTTTCTATATCCCTCCCAACTGTCTGGATTTCGGTTTTAAACTGATGGGAAAACAAGAAGAAATAGAAAGCCTGGGCCATCATCTAAATTCTGGGGATTATGGGACACTTAATACCCATCTTCCAGAGATTTTTTGTGGTTTAACTCACAACATGTGAGTTTCCTAGCATGCCACACCACAACATAACTTATGAACACACAGTACAAGCTCAATAAACACTGTATTAATGCAAGTATACGTGTTGTTCTTCGAAGCAGACTTAGACATTGCTACATTCTGCAGCCTTCTGTAGACTTTATTTTTAATTTTTATTTTTTTGAGACAGAGTTTTGCTCTTGTTGCCCAAGCTGGAGTGCAATGGCATGATCTCGGCTCACTGCAACCTCTGCCTCCGAGGTTCAAGCGATTCTCCTGCCTCACCCTCCGAAGTAGCTGGGATTACAGGCGCATGCCACCACACCCAGCTGAGTTTTTGTATTTTTAGTAGAAACGGGGTTTTGGCGGGGCGCGGTAGCTCGCGCCTGTAATCCGAGCACTTTGGAGGCCAAGGCGGGAGGATCACCTGAGGTCGGGAGTTCAAGACCAGCCTGACGAACATGGTGAAACCCTGTCTTTAAAAAAAAAAAAAGAAATGGGGTTTCACCATGTTAGCTAAGCTGGTCTCACAAACTCCTGACCTCAGGTGATCTGGCTGCCTCAGCCTCCCAAAGTGCTGGGATTATAGATGTGAGGCACCATGCCCACCCTGTAGACTTTAAGTAGTTGGCAAAGGATGTGATCTTTTGGGACAGTGGTGATTAGTGGTCTTCACTGTAAACAAAAAGTATTTGTGTTGCAGTAAGGGTATTAGATGTAAGGCACTCTGTGTGTCTTGCCTGCTTTCTCTGAGTGCTGGAGAGCAACATCAGCATTGCCAGGGAACTTTGTTAAACAAGTCAACTCCCGGACCCCTTAAAAACCTGCAGAATCACATTACTTAGAGAAGGGCGCAGAATACCAAATGACCTATATGCACATTGAAGTTTGAGAGGCAACGGTCAGCTAAATGATTTTAGCCCAGGTTTCCAGCAAGGATTATATGGCCAGTTTGAAGAAATACCATCACCTCTGTCTTCCCCTACAGGTTCCTTTCTTTTTTTCTTTTTTCTGATTATGTTAAAAGTAGGATTTACAGCTGGGCGCAGTGGCTTATGCCTGTAATGCTAGCACTTTGGGAGGCTGAGGTGGGCGGATTGCTTGAGCTCAGGAGTTCGAGACCAGCTTGGACAACACGGTGAAACACCATCTCTACTAAAATACAAAAAATTAGCCAGGTGCGGCAGTGTGTGCCTGTAGTCCCAGCTACTCAGGAGACTGAGGCAGGAGAATTGCTTGAACCCAGGAGCTGGAGGTTGCAGTGAGCCGAGATCACACCACTGCACTCCACTCCCATGTGGGTGACAGAGCTTTTTCACCCACCAGTATCACAGCAGTAATTATGGGCCTATCTGAATCCAACTCGTCTCATTACAGCTGATGCTAACTTTATTCTGGCTAAGGTGTTTTCTGCCAAATTGCTTCACTATGAAGTTTGTAAGTTTTCTCTTTATCATTAATGAGTAAAGCCTTAGTCTTGAGCTCATTAACATCTGAATTTTAGTCGGCACAGGATTCAGGCACCTGAGAGACAGACTTGGGCACACTGTGTGGTGTGCACATAAAACGAGGTTTGTTGGGAAGAAAAAAGCAGAAGAGGAGAAGGTGCTATCAAGAACCATGGCTGGGGTTCAGTGTAGGATTCATGAAGGAATGGTTTGTGCTACACATACAGACCCAGACAGGGCTATGATCTGACTTATTCCTGTGTCTGTACAGGCAGAAGAGATTATGATCAGGTGGTCCAGAAGCCTGAGTCGGTGAAGGAGACAGGTTCCTGCTACAGATTCAGTGTCTGGGATTAAGATAAACCAGAAGTCTTCTAGGCAGAAAACTCTAGGGGCAAAGCTGTTGTGGGCATAATTCCTGAGGATAAAACCCTGTCCTGGGACAGAAGTGGCCATGTCAATTTTTAGTGGGGATGGTCATGAGTGGGTTAGAATCATGTAAGGGTTGGCACCAAAGTGGGGAGAGAGGATAAGTTCTCAGAACATTTTTACTCTAAATTCTCTGTTCCCTCCCACCCTAGGAGACCCAGAATAACAGGACAATGTACAGTATGACAGCCTGTGTGCAGAACAAAGCCTCACTTCCGTCAGACATCTGAAGTGTCCCTCCAGCCCAGGCCTGTGATGGTTAATACTGAGTGTCAACTTGATTGAATTGAAGGATGCAATGTATTGATCCTGCCTGTGTCTTTGAGGATGCTGCCAAAGACGATTCACATTTGAGTCAGTGGGCTAGGAAAGGCAGACCCACCCTTAATCTGGGTGGGCACCATCTAATCAGCTGCCAGCGAGGCCAGGATATAAACGCAGGCAGGAAAATTCGACCACTCAGCCTACATCTTCCTCCCACTGGATGCTTCCTGCCCTCAAACACCGGACCCCGGGTTTTTCAGTTTGGGGGCTCAGACTGGCTCTCCTTGCTCCTCAGCTTGCAGACCGCCCATTGTGGGACCTTGTGATCGTGTGAGTTAATACTTCATAAACTCCCTTCTGTACATCTATATCCAGCCTATTAGTTTTGTCCCTCTACAGAACCCTACTACAAGGCCCCTGTGATAGCTTTCTTTTGACAAAAAACGTAGTTTACTGAACACCAGTCAATTATCCAGCACCAACTGGCTGTCCAACAACTCAATTCCGACACACCCAGAGTCAACACAGAATCCACAAGTTCAGGGCTCAGTCCCACAACACTGTCCCAATTACAGATGCCAGTCACATGCCTCTGGATAAACTTTATTTCTGAACCACTGCTAACAAACATGCCCCTCCTCAAGTTCAATAATTTGATAGAACTACTCAGAAAACTCAGCAAAGCACTGAACTTACGTATACTAGTTTATTATAAAAGACACAACTCAGGAACAGCCGAATGGAAGAGATGCATAGAACAAGGGATACTGGTGGGTAATTTTGCTAAATAGCTGTGATTTTAAAAATCCCTCATCCGGCCAGGTGTGGTGGCTCATGCCTGTAATCCTAGCACTTTGTGGGGCTGAGGCAGATGGATGGATTAAGCTCTGGTATTCAAGATTAGCCTGGGCAACATGGTGAAACTCTGTCTCTACAAAAATACAAAAATTAGCTAGGTATGGTGGTGTGCACCTGTAGTCCTAGCCACTTAGGGGGACTGAGGTAGGAGGATTGCTTGAGCCCAGAAGGTCTGGGCAGTGTTGACACCACTGCACTCCAGCCTGGATGACAAAGTGAGACCTTGTCTTTTTTTTTTTTTTTTTTTTTTTTTTGAGACAGAGTCTGGCTCTGTCGCCCAGGCTGGAGTACAATGGCACGGTCTTGGCTCACTGCAAGCTCTGCCTCCCGGGTTCAAGACATTCTCATGCTCAGCCTCCGAAGTAGCTGGGATTACATTTGCCTACCACCATGCCTGGCTAATTTTTGTATTTTTTTGTTTTTTTGAGACGGAGGCTCATTCTATTGCCCAGGCTGAAGTGCAATGGCGCGATCTCAGCTCACCGCAACCTCCGCCTCCTGGGTTCAGGCAATTCTCCTGTCTCAGCCTCCCGAGTAGCTGGGATTACAGGCACACGCAGCCACGCCCAGCTAATTTGTTTTGTATTTTAGTAGAGGCGGGGTTTCATCATGTTGGCTAGGCAGGTCTGGAACTCCTGACCTCATG